GCCTTGCTAACTGTAGTCTGTAGAGTCTGAGATGGGATTTTTGCCGTCTCTGATCATAGCATGGTCTGGCATTGGGGTGACTTTGCAGGGATGCTGACTCCTGGGAATACTGGGAACCATCTGCGGTGTTTTCCACTTGTGGATTTTCTTTTCACACATAATGGGCTTTAAATTCCACTGCCAATTCATGGACAGCAATAACTACTTTTTTAAATGAACTGCTTTCATCAGCTTCTTGATGCTAAAAGAACCTCTCAGCTGCTGAACGATATGGAGGATATCAGTATGATTCAGCAGATGGGTGGGGGCGTTGTTGTTGTTGTTGTAGTAAGAGTCCACCCCCAGCAGGACAGAAGTGTTTGATGATGGGGTAAAGGTGATCACTCTGAACAACTTCGTATTGATTTGAAATGACTTTTCCCTCTAAAAAGGGACAACTAGATGGACCCAGATCATGCTAGCAAAATTCCTCTTCAGCATAACAAAGCAGATCCCCTCACTGTAGGGGGTCAAAAGCTTAGGTTTTCCCCCTTTATTTGCGAACTGACTGGATGTGTATTGATGCATTCAAGCTTCTGAAACAGATTCAGCCTGAAATCAGCAAATGAGTTTTGGTTTTAGAGAGGGGGAAAAAGTGATTAGAACCACCGAAGCAACTTCTAGATAGCTAAAAGCTGCTGGTCAGCAACAGCTGGGATAGCTCTTGCTGTCTTGCTGACGGGCAGCTGGAAAGGCTACAACTCGAGATCCTCTTCATGTACAAACAGTGTTTTAAGTGAGACAACATTACAACAGTTTCACTGATAAAAGCAGTGAGTTCAGGCATTTCCTTCAGATGGATTAGTTTAACTTTGTGGTAAACAGCCAAAACAAAACGTCAGCGAATGGAAGAATGTGGATCCGTTATGATATGTATGTACAGAAGGTTTAATAGAGTGCACGTTCAATTTTTTCCCCCTTGTATTCTGTAAAATACTGTTAAAATGGTGGATGTTTAGTATTCAGTTCAGTATTTTACTCCCCTATCAGTTAATTTGGACATGTACGCTATTACACATACGAACACACTTCAAAACCCTCTATAATCAAGTTAATTAAGAGGATGAAACCTTGTCTGTGAAGGTTCTCAGTCATCCAGGTCATCGTAGTCAAAGAAGCTTGCAAAGAAAAGCGTCTGGACTTCTTTAAGTTACTTGAAGACGTTTCACATGAAACCTTATTATAGTAGTTTACACTTGCAGTCACCCGCAGACCAATGGCAGATTACGTAATTTTAAAAACATTTTTGTGTTTTTGAATGGAAGACTGAAGACATGGTGATCAAGTGTTAGTGTTATCTTGATGAACAAACTATCTATTTTTGTTATTGTGAAAACATAAATACAGGCGAGCCGGGGAATCCTATCTTACCGATTATTATTTTAAAACATTGTCTTTCTGGCTCTTTGAGGTCGAATTACACTGATGTTGGAAAGGTTCCCTTCCGTATAAATAAATGCATTTTCTGGTTTGAATCATGTCCCAATGACTACTTGCACGTTAAATGAAGCAGTACAGGGAGGATGAATTATTTGGTGAAAATGCACAAGACAATATCTGACACACACCAATACCTCAACCTAGCTTTAAAGCACGGTGGAGGCAGCATCATGTTTTAGGGCTGTTTTGAATATTGCATAAACACCATTTACAGGTTTCTGTCAATGCAGCAAGAAAATGGTTAAAAAGAAATACATGAATGAATGGGGAACACCAAGTCTGAATGCTGACCTTTACTAAAATGTTCAGGCTTGATTTGAAGGGAGACGTTTTCTCAATAAATCATAGGAATGTTGAACACTGTTTATTTTTTCAGGAGAGTAGTGGGAAGAAAAAAAAATCTTCCTCTTCACTGTGAGAGCCTCACAAGCACCTATGAGGAAATATCTAATTGAGATTGTTTGTAATAAATTAGTTTTTAAAGGTTTACTTATGTTCTGCAGGCTGGACTGTGGTGGGGGATTATTCATTTTGTGTTCAATAAATACATGAGAAGTACAGTCTTTGTGTGTTATTAGTTTAGTCACCACATTTTATATGCATTTAGTTTAGAAGTCCTGGACCGACTGCAGATTTATAACCATGTTTTCATGTGAATTCATAATCACTTTCACAGTCCTGACTAATCATCCTTATACCATGATTAGTCAGCGGGAGAAGGGAAAATGATAAAAACCTTGGTCGGCATTAATCATCATAATTATGACCTGAGAAAGGCTTCATCTGGGATTACACAACAGAATGGTTCAATGTTTTAAAAGTTCATTCTAGATGTTTATAAGATCTTCAGCCAAAGAGAAAAAGACTATGGCGAAATAATGAAATAAGATCCACCAGCTCACCCCACCAGGTTTTTTACAAGGAACTACTTTAAGGCACACGCACGAACACACACACAGGATGCAGAATGGTTATTATCATTATTATCATTCCTCCCTTTCAGCCACCAGATGGGTCCACAATTGGATGTATACATTGAAAAAGCACACACACACAGTTGCTCCCTCATATTTCACTCCAGAAAAATCTACTATCATGAGAATTCAACATCAGTGTCCAGATTTCTTCTTCCACTATGTGGTACAAACTGTCAGGGTGACAAAAATGTGAGAGGTGTGACACCGACAGCTGGAAGATACCAGCTTCATTAATGGATTTGTGCCCTTGTGGTAGATCACAGCAAGTCGCAACAAGCCATTTTGGTTCTAGTCTTTCAAGACTGACATATTCAGTCTCTGGAGCCCACCCTCTTCACATATACACATGAAGACGCAAAAATAAACACACCTTTCAGCAGTTCCCATGACAGGATTTTAACTGTCAGAGAGAGAGAGAGAGAGCGCGATTCAGTGACACTGATCTTTGCTTTTCCTCTTAACCTTAAGTTTTTAAAAAAAGGAGGAACAACCCTGCACTTCTTGGCTGTATGAATGCAATCAAGGGGAGGTAGAGATGTAGAGATGCATACACGCATACACTGACGTGCATGAACTGTCGCCAACTGGCTGACAGTGATATGAGATAGCGTGTGTCCTATTTTAACCCCGATCATTTCAGTGAAGAAATCGGTGCAGTGACACCCAGAGATAAACAGAAGTCCAGGCAGCATTCACACTCAGTCCTGGGAAAGATTCTTGGCTTGTTCGAACAAGGTAGAGACCGATACCGACTCGCACAGTTTAACAGTATTGCATACTTTAAAACCACTGCCAGTCATGGTCCTGATATTTTCCCGAATCCGTGAGTAAAATCTTAAAGGTGCGTTAAAAGTTTCTGTAATCTTGCAGCGACCCATGAAGCAACATGTGGGTAATCTACCGGAGATATATAAATCAGACCTGTGCGTACGGTTGTGCAATCCCCTGTGCGTCACTTTGAAGGCCATTCTACTTTTAATGTGGACTTACTATGCTGTTGTTCCGTCCGTACAAAAATCACCAGTGAACATTAAACCACAGCCAATAACCTACGTCCAGAAACTAATCATGTTTTTAGCCATATTGTCAGGAGGAGGAGGGCAGAACGGGGGTTTTCACTTACCAGCAAAGACGCACAGAATATCCACCGCAACCAGAATCAGTTTCTTCCCATGTTCTGCCATGCTTCTTCAGACGGCTCGCCACTTTTATAAATAATAAATAAAAACCGCGTTTGGGGGAAAAAAAGAAAAGAAAAAGCAGGCAGGAAGGTTGTAAACTGAACACCTGGAGAAACTGTGGACAAAGTACTAACAGGAAAGAATAACCTGCTCGCTCTTCCGCCTCCAGTGATCCTTACCTGCCCGCCTCCCTTTATGCTTGTCTATCTGTCCGTCTGTCTTTCTATACACTTCGCGGTTGGCAGGTAAGTCGCAGAGGAAGCACGTTTTGGTTTAGCCTGCCTTTTTTACGCACGGGGGGCGCGTCTGTCTTTACAGAAAAAAGGAGAAAGCTAACAGATCATTTATCGTCCCAAAACGCTTGATGTTGAAAAAAGGGAAATTCCCCGACTTTCTCTCTGCTTTTCCTTTCTCTGCTTAGTTTGCAAGGTAATTAAAAGTTCAGCAATGTTTTCTCCAGTGCTGAGACTTCTTTGGGGGGGGTGAAATCACGACACCCTATTATTTTTCCAAACTAGTAATAAAGAGTGAAGCGATTTCACCCAACTTTGGCCTGGTTTCGCACTAACAGAGAGTCACTTAGTATACCACATTTGCCGAGGATTTGTGACCTGCTGACGCACAGTTGTAAGGGAATCAACGCATTTCTTTTAAATTTATTTTATTTTTCGCTTAAAATGAGTGGCAAACACTAGGTGCTGTAAACGAAGTTGGACAACGATGGACGGTTGGCCCAAACATGGCCTACACGTGCAGTTTTCTATAGGTTAAATTACATTTATACTAAACTCAAGGTGGGTCTGGCTACCGGAACACAGACACCACCCTGTATGATCCAGATGTTGGTTGTTTTGGGACATTTGGTGTCCACATTTAATCACAATCAGCTCTTAAGACTTTAAACTATAACAGCTCAAGTCTCCACACACCTGAGCCTTAAGACACAGATGAGGTGTGTCTGCTGTCTTGGTACTATTGTACTTGTCAACAATCAGCTTCAAAAATAGGATACAGTGCTGTTATTTAAACAGTTACAAGTGCACAATTCTGACCACGTGCTTGATTTGCAGGCTGCTTGCAGAGAGTGATTTATATTATCAAAATGTATCTAATTAAATATTAATTTCATTAATGTGAACAAGCTTCCAGCTCACAATTCGGCCCTAATAGGTTTTTCTTATCTCTGTTTTTATGTTCTTGCCTTTCGTTGCTTGTCGTAATGGCTGAATTTCAGTTAGTCTTTTTAATTTTACACACAATTTACACACAGACTAAATAAAGATTCCTTTACAGTAACTATAATGTGGATTGCTGAAAACAAATATATATATATTTTGTTGGAGTGATGACTCGAAACACAGAATTAGCACACAGTAAATTTAATATTTTACCCTTGAAATTCTGGTTCGTACATTAAAGTGGATATTTTAATTCTCACAACGTACAAATTATGTAAACCAAATACAAACTCAGCTCGGAAGTATTCACAGTTACAAAGATGGCTCATTCTACTGTAACGATAAACTCAAGTCAGCAGCAGCATTTTGAGGGGTCTGACTCTGAGACTTGTACAAGCCCACTTTCCAAACTGCAGGCGTGTAACAGAAAATAGGTAACATGTAGCAGAAGAGTCTAGACTAGCTGTAACAAACCAGAAAGATAAGAAATGCTGTTAATGGACAGTCTAGTTAGTCTTTGTTCACAGTATTTATAACTAGTTCAAGTCCTTTTTATATAAATAACTAAATCTATATCTTCCTACTTAGATAGACAGATATAGATATATACACTCACTGGGCACTTTATTAGACACACCAGCCCAACCCTAAAACCAATAACCATACATACTAAAGTCATTTGAATCTCCCTTCTTCCCCATTTTAATGCTCACTTTGAGCTTCCGAAGATTATCATCTATGTCTCTAAATGTACTGAACTGGCTAAATAGACTAACCAGTTGAACTTGTGTATCTAAAAGAGCGCCCAGTGAGTGTATGCTTTTTTTTTTTTCTTCATAGGCACACACATAAAGCTTTCAGATACCTGATTTCAACTATATAAGCAACAAGAATAAATCACTTCACTAAAAATAGAAAAATAACAGCCAAGTCAAACATCGGTAAAATACAGGGAGCAGTTTGCGTTAACATTCCTCAGCACTGACAGCCAAAACATGCGGCGTGTATATTAGTAAGATGAGGAAAAAAACTTCATAATGCCTCAAAACATATACAAAAAAGTAACCAATCAATCACAAATGAGTGTGTTTACATATATATAAAAAATAATCCATCCTCCCTTTGACTGCTCATATTTATCTTGTCAAATGAAAAAGATGTTCTTTACAGAGCCAGGCCAGCTGTTACCCTCTGTTTTCACTTTCTATGCTTCTGCAGAGTATAGCTTCACATTTACTGTAGAAAAGTGGTATCCACATTCTCATCTCCTTCTTAGGAAGAACTCATATAAGTGCATTTCCCTAAATGTCAAAGGCAACTGATTCCTGATCACATCTTTTTTGATGGGAAAGATTCCCCAGCCAAAGCTTGAGAACATTCCCATCATTGGAGAATTCCCAGTTGCATGAAAGGGGCTAATGTTAACTGGACTGTTGTCAGCCAACCTTACTCATTGCAGTAATTACATCCTGACTTTGAAATCATTTGACTACAAAAATTTAAAAACAACAACAACTTTTTTTCCATATTTTATGACTAGGAGGCAGCGAGGTGGTGCAGTGGTTTCCATTTTTGCCTCATAGAAAGAGGTTCCTTGGAATAAAGTCCACTGGCTACCTGGGCCCTTTCTGTATGAAGCTTGTATGTTCTCTCTGGATACTCCAGCTTACTCCCAGAGATATGTATGGGGTTAGGTTAATTGGTGATTTTAAACTTGCCATGAGTGTAAATGGCTAGACTGGTGACCTGTACTGGGTTTACACTGCCTTTTTGCCCTATGACGCAGCCGGAGTAGGTTCCAACACTCGCCCCGGCAACTGGATAAGCACAAGGTGGATGTATGAATGTGGTTTACATATAAATAAAACATAATAATGACATTTTTGATGAATAAATATTATGTACTTCCCTTCCGTGACACTAAATTGTTGACGAAATGTAAGGATCACACTCCACAGGACAGTAGGAGAAATCCACAAAGATAGAAGGGAGAAACTGTGAAAATGATGTAGTGAAATTATCTGAAGAATCACTGGGCTGACGGATGTTGTTAGACTGCAGCAATGAGTTAAAGCTGCTTTGAGAAAAAGGATGCTTGAGGGAACTGATTTCTGTTGTGTGAGAAGGTAAAACAGCGGAAGAAGATATACTGCTTAAGTCAGAGAAGGAAGCGGGGATCTGATGGTGCTGCAGAAAATGATGCAAGGTTTTCTGTTCATCCTTGGGCTGTGACTGAGATGGCTCGCTGGCTCCACCTAGCTGCAACTTAACATCATTGACGTTAGCTGTCTGCCAGTTGTACTGGTCACAGGAGAGGTGCACAAGAGGCCCGGGAGTATTCTGGAGCGGTCCGGATAACATGACACTGGAGTAATCTGAGCAGCAGGGGGAAAGATCAGTTGCAGACCTTCTGGTTAATGTTTTCCCTGATCTACTTATGTCAAGTGGAGACCTGAGACTGGAATATGTTCGCAGATTACAGACACCCTGATAGCTGTGGTCCTGATCCAGGCTGGAGTTCTCCAGCTCACCAAGCACAATGACTTCAGAGTATTTGACTGCAGGCTTCTCCGGCAGCACAAGAGGATTCATACTCTGTGGGAAAAAAAGCAATGAAGTCAGACATGCTATCTCTATTCCAAGCTCTTTGCACTGCCACTGCTAAGCACCGTACTTTAGGATTTTAAAACAGAACAAAGAGGAACTGTAAAAATGGCAAAAAAGCATAGACTGCTTTCTCTGTCTGCTTGTGTCTCCTGTTCACGTATGTGGCAGCTGAAATGTGAAATACAGAAATTCAAACTGAAATGAACCTACTTTGAAAGACTTTTTAATCTGAATGGGTCATTGTCATTTCAGCTGGCAAAACAACTGCAATTTCATAAAAAATGGCTCTGAGTTGTTGTATATTGTTCAGATAAAAGTATTAATGTTTATATTTCCTTTTTTGACATCAAATCCCAAAGAACTCGAATAACAGCTAGTGTGATGATCGCTGTGATGCTAACTTTGGCTAGTCACAACGAGGTTTAAAGTAAAATGCAGTAAAAATGCATAATGTTGGGAAGCTGTGCTGTGTTGTAATCATTATATGTTGGCCCCAGCACAGCAGACTAGACTTGAAGGGAGGCTGTATGACAGTCAGAGGCGGTGTCAGGTGTTGCGTAGTTGGTATGCTGAGTGCACTGGAAAGGCTGGACTATGCTGGATGTTACTGTAACAACGAAGACTCTGATAAGTGAGCACCCAGGAGAGCTGTCTGTCTCTCTCTGTGTGTCTTTGTTTTTTTTTTATTTGTTTTTGGTCTGTCTCTGGTCTTTTCTGTCTTTTTCCGCTGATGTGCATGTGCTTAAAGGTTGATACCCTGGAGTTTAGCTTCGCTGTTCTGATGTTTTTTCGTTTATTTGACTCTGCTCTTTTTGTAGAAACTCAATAAACATTGCAATGAACTCTGCATTTGTCCAGAGAATCTTTTTTTTTTTTTAACTCTCCTTTGATCTATAAAGTTGAATACACAAGTGACCGACCAGAGAGAGTTTATCAGCTTGGCTCCAATGACCCACTTTGGGAGACAGCCTCAAGTGGCCATCTGAGGAATTGCAGTTCTTGGCACTTGGCGTGGATCGACAACGGGTATTTTCACTTTCAACTAATTGGGCAGCATATTTTTTTTTCTCATCAAACATTATTTAACAGCAGTGATTTATTTTACAGTATTTCCAGCCACAGATTGGTACAATAAAGTCTGCCCTTTTGAATAGCGGTAAGCTCCATAGAACAAACAGAACAAATGTCAGGCTTTTGCAACTCAAACAATACATGAAAGAAGGATCAATTGATTATTGGTTTTACTGTGATTGGCTGAAAAAACCCGATTTACCTCCAATGTAGTTTTAGGGGCCCAGTGGGACAAGCTACTGTTGGAGGGATCAGGGACATCTTTACATAGCTTCTCTTTCACACTAAACATCACAGAAAATATAAATAAATAAATAAGTAAATAAAAAACGCAAAAATTCATCTCAAGGCTTTGCATGCAATAGCTGTATGTTTGTATAAGATAGATATTTAAATGGATATCTTACATTCCATGCTGTGCTAGGCAGGCCATCAGTATCAGTGCCAATATCGTCAGCACGAGTGGAACGACCACATACATCACTACCGAGATTTCCTCAGAGCCTTCAAAAACACATAAAGTTGTTAAATATAAAGATGTGTGTGTTTTATGCTTTCTTTTTTTTTACTTTTAAGTTTGTTTGTTTGTTTAAGTTTGTCCTCACGTATGTGCACATTAGCTATGGTCCCAGTTTCTCCGGCGCCAGCCTCAGTATTGGCCTGCATGAAGATGGCGTAGTTACCGGGTGACAGATTCTGCAGCGTGTAGCTGCGAGCCTGACCAGGCACAAAAACACCTAAATAAACATGAGAAGCTATAATTGGCAAAATGTGATAAGGTAGGCGATCCATCAAGTCATAACAAATG